GGAATGGGTCAGGCAGTTCCTTATACGACATGACAAGCAGTTTCTATTCTGTTCCAAGCACACTGGAAGCCGTGATCTTTTTAGAAATAGCACTCAGTGTGCTAAGTGAGGGACAAACTGGACAAGAGATGAGAAAACAGCAAAAGTTCAGTTAAAAGCCCACTGCCCAGGCTACATGAGAGATGTTAAAAATTTAGCTAATGAGGAAGCTCAGAGAAGAGAGAACTAAAGTGGATTCAAAACACATTTACAGGTAAATCAAAACTTGTCAGTTATACCTCTGACAAATAAGAACTGAGGAAGAGATTTTCCTAAAAGAAACATTTTCTTAAAGTGAGCATTAGGTTAATTTGGAAAACTCCTTCGTCACACTTTTTATGACCTTACAAATATACTCCCACAAACAAGCAATTACCTGACCAGACTAATTCAGAGCAAAAAGAGGTTAACTCTGGTCCACAGCATAAGTAAAACGTTTAGAAAGATGTTCATCTACATTTACCCTTCTGAAGTCTGGGTTTAAATCAGCATATGATAAAAATTTTGCAAATCTTTTTACAGAAGTAATTCCAGGGATCAGAGAAGCATGGTGAACCACGTTACACACCATCTAAAAGGAAATTGGGTCAACAGCTCCTTTTACTAATTATTCAGGTACAGACTGTTCTCTACAGATGCACAATGATTACATTTTGTTACATTTCTGGATATTTTCATATGATGATCCTAAATGGAAGAGTTGTATGATTTCAATTACTTTGAATAACAAAAAGTGATAGATCATTATTTTTGCAAGCCATTTCAAGATGTATGTGTAACTTTGGGTTGTTTTGTTTTGTTTTGTTTTGTTTTGTTTTGTTTTATGAAACAGAGTCTCGCTCTGTCACCTAGGCTGCATGGAGCGCAGTGGTGCGTTCTCGGTTCACTGCAATCTCCGCCTCCAGGGTTCAAGAGATTCTCCTGCCTCCGCCTCCCAAGATTACCCTTCTGGGATTACAGGCTCGAACCACCATGCCTAGCTAATTTTTTGTATTTTTAGTAGAGACGGGGTTTCACCATATTGGCCAGGCTGGTCTCAAACTCCTGACCTCAGGCAATCCACC